TAAGGTAACGAAGTTTGTTATATGTTTCTTGTTTGTTAATTGATATAGATTGACATTGATAGATTGGAAAAAAATTTCTAAACCATTCATCAAAGTTGTTTTCAAAGTTTTTGAGTGAAGGGATATTAAATTTGTGTAAGAAAAGGGATTGTAGTAAATTGAATAGAAGATGATATTAAATTTATAATCAGATTTTATTGTAAAGTATGCTTTATCTTGATCTATGGAGATGATATGAGAGATAATTGAGAAGGTTTTAGGGCGAAGGTTAAAATCTTTAGCAAATTTGGTATAGTTGATACTTTGGTAATTTTCAGAGAGGTATAGATACATACAAGCGAGGTTGAGACAAAATTGAAGTCAGTTTTTGGGCTTATATGGAGGTATAGTAAGAGCTGAGGCAAAAATTTTATAGTAATTAAATTGGGTAAAAAGAATGGAAGTAAATTTATGGATTAAGTTCTTGAGTGTAGTTTTTAAAATATTGAAGTTAATGGATGCTTTGGGGTCAATGTTAGGGTTGTTAGTATAAATAAAATTTAATAAGAATTGGGGTTGAGCTGCAACCATAGTGCGGATGAGGTAGCGGAAGTTAGCTTTAAGTGGATAAGGTTTCTGTAGTTGGCTTCTTTAAGGATCTTGCCAAGGTAAAAATTGTGAAGGTGGAGTTTGAGAAAATTGAAAAGTTGGGAGGCTATAGGTGTTTCTAGTTTAGTTCGTGGTTTCATTTCTTTAGTAATAGGAAAGTTAAAAAACCAATCAAAAGAGAGATTTGCTTTAGGTTTCTTGACTACAGAGGCATAATTAATAGTATTGTTATTGCTATTATTAATGTTGTTAGTATTATTATTAGTACTGTTATCGTTATTCTTAGTATGATTAGTATTGTTGAGGAGTTGGGTAGAGTCTTGGTTAATATTATTAGTAGAGCCTGGTAGTTGAGTAGTGGAGTTGGTTGTTGGTTTGTTGGATGTAGAAGTTTGAGATTGAGTGAGTGTATTTGAATTGGATAGTTGAGTAGTTATAACTGGTGTGAGAATGGTAGGTTTGGAGGCTTGGGGTAGTTTGAAAAAAGTTGGAGTTGTTTGGCTATTTATAGTTTGATTTGTGTTAAAGGTGGAGTTATTAGGTAGGAAAGGTAATACAGTTTGAGCAAAGTCGAGTTCAGTTAGATCGATTTCCATAGACTAAGAAACTTGAGGTTGTGGGTTGGAATTAAATTGAGTTTTAGTTTTTACTAATTTGGCGTTGGTTTCTATTGAGTGAGAGACTTGGGATAGTAGTGTAGTTAGAGGTTGGAGTATTGGGGTTAGAGGATTTGGTTGAGTTTGAGTTTTGGATATATATACAGGCTTGGGTAGAGGAGTATTGATAGTGAAGGTATTAGAAGGTTGGGGGACTTTGTTGTTGTTATTGATATTAGAAGAGAAAGTTGCTTGAGTTTTGGTAGTTGTAGTAGCTTTAAAGGCTGAGATTAAGTTTCTTCTAGCATTTTCAAGAGGGGGTTGAGTTGAAGTAGAAGTTGTAGCAGTAGAGGAGGATGATGTTTCAATAGAGCAAGTACTATAATACACTTTGTTGTTTACAGAGAAATAAAGTTCACAAAGATAATGTTTGCTATTCATAATTTTGCAAACAATAATTTTGCGACATTTTGGACAGGTGTGTTGGCATGGTTTAGGTGTTGGGGATGGGGATATGTTGGTGGAGGATTGAAAAATATTGTTAATAAGTTCAGTGGCTTTGGCACCTTTGTTTTTACCCATTTTAACAGGTGTAAGACCGGAGGGTTGTTGGTAAATAGTATTAGTATGTGAGATAAATTGGGTGTGATATTTGCCGCATAAGCAGGTAACAACTGAAGTAGAAGCAGAAGTGCTAAAAAAATAAGTTAATTTGGTACTAGATTTGGTGGATTTGACAAGGCAGATAGTTGGACTTTATTTTGGTGAAATTGGTTTAATGTTGTCAGCTTTGTCACCTTCAAAGAATGCAACTCCAAAACTACCTTTGCAGTGAGTATAAAAATAGTCAAGATCTGCTGTGTCAGGGTCTTGGTCGCTTAAAGTAGGCATAGTAAATATAGATAAATAATAGATATATTGAACTTGTAGATTTGGCAGTGACTATACTTGTAAGATATGACAAAAAGTTTAAATAATAATAATAGAAATATCTAAGAATAAGAAAAATTTTCCAAGTTAAAAAAAGGGTACTAAAATAAAGTAGGAGTTATATTGAAATATGTTTTTCAGGGGTGTGGGAAAAAGTGTCTAATTTTTAGATTACACAAGGTCATGTGACCTAAAATAGAATTTCGAAGTTTGATGTTATATAAAGTCACGTGATGTCATGTGTTATACAAGACAAAAAAGGAAATCTTATTGTATGAATAAGAAATTACTAAAAAGGCAGATATTAGTATTAGTTAATAATTAAGTGATTTTAGTGTAATATAACAGATACCAATAATTTTAGAGATGTGTAGGACGTGGGTAGCACGATTGGGGCAATGTGAGTTGCACAGAAAACGTCTCTAGGTGTTTGGAAAAGAAAATTCCCAAAGTAAAAGAGAAAAAAAAAGAAGTAGACGGAGTAGAAAATTATTTTACTTATAACTCAGTCAATATTGAGGCTACAGAGGTCTATTATAGCTTGTTTTGAAGAGAATAATGTGTAGAACAAACTTGTTCTAGATTTGAACAGAGGTTTAGAAGCTAGTTTTGGCAAAAACGACAAAAGAAGCCTATTTGGTCTAAAAGGCCATTGCTTAATAAGTTTTGGGCCGGTTTAGTTAAAAATTTAACACTATATGTAATTTTATATAAAGAATAACTTTTATTAGAGCCAGAAAATAGGTTATCTTAATAAATTATTGTAAAAATAAATTTTTTAGTCATGCAGAATTAGGTAGAGGATAATTATTATTAATTAGTTAAAAATAAAAATAAAAATAAAATAAAATAAAATAAAAAAATAAATTAATTATTAATAAAAACAAATTAATAAAAACAAAAAAAATAAGTCAAAAAGTATATACACGAAGTGCTTTTTTTCTTTCATAGTCATTTTCAAAAACTTGATACACCTCATTACTCACAGAAGCTTTTTTAGCTGTTTTTTGTTGTGCGGCAGATGAAGATTCCGACACATTCCTTTCTACCCAATTGACCTGCTCTTGAATCATCGATGACTGGTGACTTAAAACTTGCAATCTGTTAATTTGATCAACTAAGGAGTTATATAAACCCTGCAACACATCCAAACTATTCTCAAAGTCTATGAACTTAAGTTCTTGATCCTGTAACAAATCTATAGTATCTTCCAACTGCATAATTTTACAATCTTGGTCCCTTTGGATCTCACATAAGGTATCGATCTCACTCCATAGCAACTGATTTTCTAAAATAAAAATAAAAAATATATAAAAAAATATAAAAAATATAAAAATAATAATAAAAAAAAACAATAAAAAAATAGTAAAAAATATAAAAAAAAGTAAAAAAAATAAAATCAGCATTCGACAGCTATTTAAATTCTACTAGTAGATTTACCATTCTCTAGTCTTTTACTCCTTTTCAATAGATCAAAGTTAGCCAAAGATTTGGTTCGTTCTCTACTTCTGCTTCTGCTTCTATTTGTTCTCACAGGAGGCCTCAGGATAGGAGTAACAAATTCAACAGGAATCACATTTCCTGATAATCGGGTCGAAGGTTGAATTGGAGTTGAAGGTGAATTGTTAGGTTGAGGTTGAATTGGAGTTGAAGGTGTAGGTTGAGGTTGAATTGAAGTCGAAGAAGGTTGAGGTTAAATTGGAGTCGAAGGAGGTTGAGGTTGAGTTGGAGTCGAAGGAGGTTAAGGTTGAGTTGGAGTCGAAGGAGGTTGAGGTTGAGTTGGAGTTGTTGAAGTTGAAGGTGTATTGTTAGGTTGCCGTTGAGTTAGAGTTGTTGGAGTTGAAGGTGTATTGTTAAGTTGATGTTGAGTTGGTGTTGTTGGAGTTGAAGGTGTATTGTTAGGTTGACAATGAGTTGTAGTAGATGGACGTCGGCTTGGGAGTATTGTTCGTCAAACTCTTTTTGTTCTAGCTATGACAAAAGAGAATTTAGTGAAAAAAAATTTTAAGAAGAGAAATTAGAGAAGTGAAAAGAAATTTAATAAGAAAGAGAGTAAAGAGAAATTCGATAAGAAAAGAGAAATTCCAGAAATTCGATAAAAAAAAAGAAATTGAGAAATTCGATATAAAAAGAGAAATTCAATATGAAAAGAGTGAAATGAGAAATTTGAAAAGTGAAGAAAAATTCAGTAAGAGAAGAGAAATTATAAGAAAAGAGAAATTTGGGAAATGAAGAGATATTTGATAAGAGAAGAGAAGAGAAATTCGGGAAGTGAAAAGAAATTCGATAAGAAAAGAGAAATTCGAGAAAAGAAAAATTCGAGAGAAGAGAAATTCAGAAAGAGAAAAAAATTCGAAAAGTGAAGAGAAATTTGGAAAGTGAAGAAAAATTCGATTAGAAAAAAAAATTCGGGAAGTGAAGAAAAATTCGGTAAGAGAAAAGAAAAGAGAAATTCGGTAAGAAAAGAGAAATTTAAAAAAAGAAAGAAATTCGAGAAGTGAAGTGAAGTAAAGAAAAGAAAAGAGAAATTAAAAAAAGAAGCGAAAAAAATTTTGAAAGAGAAAATTTAGCGAAAAAAAAACTTTGAGAAGAGAATTTTGAGAAGAGAAATTCAGAGAAGAGAAATTTAGAGAAGAGAAATTTAGAGAAGAGAAGAGAAGAAAAGTTTCTTAAAAAAAAAAAACTGTTCGAAATAGTTGTATATATAAATGATTTTTAAATTCCGATCGCTTAACAAAAGTTGACTTTGCTATGAATGATATATTATGAGATGTAAATTTGACAAAAAAAAAAAAGATCTGTTATGTACCAAAATATAACTTTCGATATGTTATAAGCCAATACATAAATTTGACTTTAAAAAAAAAATCGATCGTTATATGCCAATATGTAAATTTGACTTATACTATTAAAAAAAAAAATCAATCAGTTATACATCAATATGAAAAAGAAATCAATAACTTTCAATATATTATAAGTCAATATTTGACTTTATACTATTGAAAAAATTGATCTGTTATGCGCCAATATGTAAATTTGACTTATACTATTGAAAAAAAAATCGATCAGTTATATGTCAATACAAAAAAGAAATCAATAACTTTCTATATGTTATAAGTCAATATTCAACTTTATACTATTGAAAAAATTGATCTGTTATGTGCCAATATGTAAATTTGACTTATACTATTGAAAAAAAAAAATCGATCAGTTATACATCAATACGAAAAAGAAATTAATAACTTTCGATATGTTATAAGTTAATATTCGACTTTATACTATTGAAAAAATTGATCTGTTATGTGCCAATATATAAATTTGACTTATACTATTGAAAAAAAAAATCGATCAGTTATATGTCAATACGAAAATGAAATCAATAACTTTCGATATGTTATAAGTCAATATTCGAATATATACTATTGAAAAAATTGATCTATTATGCGCCAATATGTAAATTTGACTTATACTATTGAAAAAAAAAATCAATCAGTTATATGTCAATATGAAAAAGAAATCAATAACTTTCGATATGTTATAAGTCAATATTTGACTTTATACTATTGAAAAAATCAATCTGTTATGCGCCAATATGTTACTATTAAAAAAGAAAATCAATAATATTCGATATATTATAAGAAATTTGACTTTATACTATTGAAAAAAGAAAATCAATGACATTCAGTATGTTAAAAGTTAATTCACAATTCACGATGATTTTAAGATTGATCATGATTTTATGTTACTTTTAGACAATTCAAAATGACGTTATAGTCATTAATTATATTAATTATATACCAATTATGATATATGAAAATTAGAATACAAAGTAGGTCCTACAATACAATTCCAGATATGATAAAAACCTTTTTTGATACCTTAATACACTGGTAAAACAATTAAGATTCGACCAGGCCAAACGTTACATTTAGCATATTTAAAATTCAACGAAATTAAAATCAACCTTAATTTATGCTGTATGTATATACATATATACTAAGGTTGATTTTTTTCGACTATAAATTTGTAGATCGAATTTTAATTTTCAATTATAAATTCATAAGTCAAATTAATTTAATTTCATGTGTTGAATATAATATTCAGCCTAGTCGAATCTTGATTGTTCTAACAGTAGCGCAATTTAAAGAAAGTCACAAATGTAAAAATATATCTGAATAAAGGATGTAAAAAAAAATCAAATAATGTAAAAAAAAAAACTAGCTATTTTTTGTATTATTTCTTACATTTATTTTCCAGACCATCATTCGACTATCATCTGAAAGCTGCAAATTAGTCAAATATAGCCAATCTATTTAAATGTATATTCTTTTTCAATTAGTGCTTCTTTGACTACTTTATGTATTTAATCTTTTTGGCCAATTATGTGAATCGATAGATGTCCGAAATAGTTAGAATAGAATTTCGGACATAAGTTATGTGATACTATCAAATGAAAAGTTAAATAGAAATAGTATGTTAAATTGTTATTTATATGTCAAATTTTTTTTTGTATTTTGATTAGCGTGCTTATGAGTCATGTAAAAGTATCGAATGAGAGGTTGAATACATGGTGAATTATGTCATTAGTAAAAAAACTTTACTTTTATTAGTGTTATAAGTCATGTGATAATTATACAAATCATGCAATATTTGACTTCATAAGTGAGGTCATAATCAAAAATTATGCAATATTCAACTTCATAAAATCAGATTTATAATCAAAAATTATGCAAATTTTGACTTTATAATAAAATATGTCATAATAAGTTTAGCAATATTTGATTCGACTGCATAAGTGAGGTTTATAATTAAAAATCATGCAAATAAACGATGTTACTAATCAAAAATTCGACTTCATAAGCAAGGTTCATGATCAAAATCATGCAATATTTAACTTTACAAAAAGCATTAATAATTAAAAATCATGCAATATTCGACTTTATATAAAGTACATTATAATCAAATTTACAAAATTTAAATTATACAATATTCAACTATAATAAAGTGTATCACATATTCAAAAAGAAAAAATCATACCATATTAGACTTTATATAAAGCACGTCATAATCAAGTTTACAATTTAAATTATATAATATTCAACTATAATAAAGCATGTTGCCATATTCGACTTTATAATAATAAAGTATTAAATTAGAGTGCATTATAATCTACTTTATAAAAAAAATTATATTAGCTTTATAAAAAAATCATGCTACATTCGACTTTATAATCAAAGTATCGAATTAAAACCTGTTATAATATAATATAATATAAAATAAATTTCTTATAAATAGTACTAATTGTATAAAGAAATAAAT